TGAATTACAAATTTTTTGTATTATCAGTATAATAACTTATAATTTTTTGGTATTCCATAATGGATACATAATATCTATGAAAAAGAATTTTTCTATTTCTTCTACATACAAAATTTGACAAGGCTTAGCAGTAAGACACACAAGTACAAAAAACTTTCCAACATCAAAGTAGTACACACCATTGTTCTCTACATATCCTTTATTTATTGTTCTATGTTCTTAGAAAAATAAATGAAAATTTAAGAATTTATTTGTAAATAGTAATAATCTAAGTACAAATGTAATGTATGATAACCCATATGTCACTGTATTTTACAAAATACTAGTATGCTTGTACTAAGAGTACAAGATTTGTACTTTGTAGGCCATTTTCATACTATTCGATACAGTAATATGACTTACAACTTGTGTGGAGGGACTATTAGTTAGACACAGTTCAAAAGTCAATAAAACAAAAATATTAATACATATAAATAAATATATATATGCTGTTACAAGCTTTCAGCTATTTAGAATAACAATTCCTCTTACAATTTGCAGACATTTTGGAAAGAAAAAAGGGGAATTTAGATGTATTTCCTAATCTTTTATGGTGGTTATTTGATTGATCAAATTGACCAACTTAGTACAGAGTTAGGGTAAAAAAAAATAACAGATAAATTATAAAGTTTTTCTACAAAAAAGGTTTGATACTTTTTAAGGAGGTTTTAGAAATTACACAAATTAAATTTGACAATTTTCAGAGAAAGAAAAGTATTTTTAATTTTAAAACACAGTCAACATCCCAAAAGCAAATATTCAAGAGCAAATCTTTAAAATATTTCATAAGAAAAATCTGATTTTTTTATATACAAAACTCTTGTAATGCTTACTGATAGTTTGGAAAATTTCATGAAGATACTCATACATTATCAAATGTTATAGTACGATTACTCTCATGGTTATTTTGGTGGTTACATAGTAGGTGCAATGCACCTATCTGTAGTCAAAAGTTAACAAATGTATCAAGTTTGATCCAACTAACTTGTGAGTGGGAGTGTGAATACAGTTTCAAAGATGGCACCCCTGGGATCTGGGAGTGGACCAGGAACACCAAACCTAACGACAGATTTAAATTCAGAGCCCCTGAAAATCTATATTCAAACCCCCCATCATGAGTTGGTGACCTCTTAGTACCCTCTTTATAGTTGGGCTATGGCATATACATAAGAACTACTCCCAGGCCATCCTGCCAAGTTTGGTCCTGCTAAGTCCAAAATTGTGTGTGTGTGGGTGGGGGGGGGTGGGGGGGGGGTCGTGGACGTAAGTAGTACAATAATACAATATTACGTACACCTATCTCGTCGTGTCGTACTCGTAGGAG